AATTAGGCATGTAAATTTAGAATAAAAACAACTATTCAGGAAATTTTTTATTAGTTACTTAGTACGGGGCTTAAAAAGTAAATTATCTGAAATTTCTTATGGAATCATTGGCATAAATTAGTATAATTTTTTTGAGGTTCTTTTTGAGCCATTATCTATGGTATATATTGTGAAATAGGGTAAATAGGGCTCAAAAAATTAGGTAGGTGTTCAACCTCCTATTATCACCCTACCCTACCACAGCTACCATGATTAACTTGCAGCACCAAGACTGGTGCTATAGTAGTGGACTACTGTACTGATATAAAAAAAATCTCTTGCATTCATTTGAAAAATTTTTTTATTCATGTTAATTTAGGGTATCATTATTTTTAAAAGATGAAGCATTATCAGCCACTATGATTATTATTCATTTTAATTAATGTTTACTTTTTCTTCACTTTTATTTGTGATAAAAAGCAAAAATCAAGATGGAAGTAAACATTAATTAAAATTATAATTACTAATATTTTATAGTATTGTTATTAGTCAGATATCAAAGTATTTTCCCTCGATTTGAATGAACTTCCACCAACTTTCCAATAAATTTTGTATTTGGTCATGTAAAAACAATTAAAATTTTTAGCTGATGAGGAATTGTTTTGTATCTCAAACTCATTGCAGTTATGAACCAGGAAAGAAGTCTTATGGGGAAAAAAAAATGATAGTCTGAAAATCGACAAGCCTTGAACTGTGAATGAGATTTTGAATTTAAAATTTAAATAAAATGGGATTATAAATTTGTATAACTAGCACATAAGCATGATTAGGAAAATTGTTTTCAGGCCATCTCTAGTTATCTTCAGCTAATTATTCTTGTAGAAACACTGACCAATAATAATAGTAATTCTAATAATAATAAAAATATTCAAATGAACCAATCATATCAAAATTTTGTGGAAAAAATCCCTATACCTCTTTCCAATACCTATGAGAAAAACAAATTTTTGCTCAGTCAATGAAAACCAAATATTTCCTTATAAGGAAACAGCTAATATTACAATTAGAGATGAGAACAGAATGTATTTAGTTGCTTCCCCATACTGGCAAAATGTGACACAAAGTCAGTTTAATGTGGGGATCCCAAATACATGCACTTGGACCAGGTCCAAAAACAGCCCATTTCCTACCACTGTCGGTTGTGCTGGCATTAGTATTCCTATTTATCCCCTTTCTTTAGTACAATAAAGGAAGTATTACTATGGCAACTGATTCACTGGAACGAGGCACCTATCAATATTTTTCCAGTTGCACTCTGCCCAAAGACAGAGACACAACTGAGCTGTGCTCTGTCCAAAGACAATCACAATTGAGAGATAAAATGTAGTTTGTCAGTCTGAAGTCAGATACTACACTTTGATCTCAGCCTGATGGCCAGTGAATGAAGAACTATGTAACTCAAGTAGGCTATTCAGTCAATGAATAGCAAATGTTTCCTTATAAGAAAATGGTTAATATTATCATTACCATAGTTCAGTGCTTCTTAAACTATGGGGTCAAAAAAGCAAAATGTTGGTGTCATGAAAATTAAATTCAAACACTTGAATTTCAGATTATATGTTATTTCACAAATGCACAATATTTAATGTGATATGCTATGCAAGAGCTGCAGTAATAAAATGCACATGCAGTGCCATTGTGTCTAGTGCAGTGACTATATATATATATATATATATATATATTTTTTCAGTGTAGTTCGTTATTACCTGGGATCACGAAAAATCTCATGACGAAAAATGGGATCATGAATGAAAAAAGTTTAAGAAGCACTGGTCTAAATAATAGCAATACAAAGATCATACAATAATCATTGTCCTTTAACTGGTCTAAAAAATAGATATGAAAGTTGTATATTGATGAGAATGTTTATAATTGTCAATGTCCTAGATAATTCATAAACACAAAGCTTTTTGAGAATCGAAAACACACGAAAAAAAAAAAAATTTTATTTCAGGTATTTGGCTGCCAATCATTTAAGTTAGAATAAAAATAAAATTCAGCTAAATGACAGGAACAACAGAGTTTTGTTTGTCCCTCTGATGCCATGTTTGTTCCTACTGAACCAGGGTTCTAATACTTGATACAGGGATTGAACTCATAACCACGAGATGACAGTAACCAACTCATATATCCACTATGCCACTGTAGGACATCAGTAATGTGTTTTTGGAAGTTTTATATTCAATGTCAGATGGTTTCAGCATTTGATTATCATTCTGGGTTCATACCACATTTTTTTTTTAATTTTAATATTTCATTTCTGAGATGAGTAATTGACAATATACTTTTTATTATTATGAGCTGTTGTTCTCATTTTGGTTGATATAGATCAGCGCTTCTTAAACTATGGGTTGCAATAGTTTAAGTTAATACCTGGGTTTGGGAAAAATCTCATGATAAATGAGATCATTAATGAAAAAAGTTTAAGAGGCACTGCCATAGATAATACTTTTGGTTATACCATCCCACAAACAACAACACATATAGTAGGAAAAAAAATTATTATTTAATTCTTGTCTGTAATATGCATCCCTAACTTTTAGGCTTACAAATTTTAGAAAAAGGTGTATATTATATACAATTATAGTAAATATTTTAATATGAAATGCTGCAATAGAAAAAATAACGTATGGAAAGAAATTAGAAATGCAGTTTTTTTTTGTGGGAAAACTGTTGTGATAAAGAAGAAAAGCACATCTTGAAAAAGAATTTATATTCTCTATCACAAAAGAAAATCAGAATCAAGATTGGGTTGACTTCAGTCGGCCGTGAAATATGGTAATTGTTTGTGCTTCTGTTATAACTCACTCCTAGCGGTTATAATATTATGTCTAGCTTAGGCTACTCAACAGACCCTAATGAACTTCTCTTAACTCACTTTGAGTTCTTTATTTAAAGCATCTTGTCTAGTTCATTTTTGTTACCTTGGGTTTTCTTATTTATTCCACAATAGCTTTCCTAACCAGTATCAACCAATGATGACCTTTCTTACCCACAATAAATGAATGCTACTTTGGACAACTGTGAATTTTTTTGTTATTCATGGGTAAAGACAGTAGTTGTGCATTGTGAGTTTTGAATACAGATTTTCTAATCTGTCATATTTTCTTTTACTTAGGACTTGTGAGACTGATTTATACCCTTTGAAATTACGATGCTGAATTTTTAATTTTGGGATCTGAACCTGCATTGCTATTTTCTCACAGAAACAGTAACTTCCCATAAATTACTTAGTATGAGAAAAGAAATAAGAATTGAAATACTGAATTTGGTTGAGATAAAAATGATAAATATACCAACTTAACATGACTATACCAACTCTGACCTGTTACTAAATAAGTGACAGGTCAGAGTAAATCACAGAGGTGCCTAAAGAAAGTGGTGGCCATGGCATGGTACTAATTTGCATCCCTATCTAAACATCTGATACTCTATCAAAAATGAAAAGTAAACCTGCTAGTTGAAAAATACAAGTCAAGACCATTTATATATATAATAAATTATGGCATTTCAAAAAGAAAACTAGCTTTCATTTCCTATATTTTATTTGAAGGGAACATAAATTTTCATTCATTTTATATGCAGATACTGCACACCAAAATACTTCCTCAGTAATGTCTGGGGTAATCCTGGGGTCATAGAAAGTATTGGGCCTCCATGACATCAGACATTCTTTCCCATGGACCAAGCTGAGAGCAATCATTTCTTGACTAGCATTCTGGCATAACATCTGCATGATTACAAGAATTGTAAATAATATTTGTGCTTATTCAAATGCGATCCTTTTATTCAATTCTACATAGGAATTCTGACCAATCAGGATTTGTTTAATTTTTTCTTCTGACTATTGGTATTTTTGGCTAATGAAAGGGATGGATTCCATTTGGCTCTTATGTGTTATTTGAAGTACTCATTCAAAATGACAGTTATTGTTTTTACCCAATGAGAAATGTAGTCTCTATTTGGCTCTAGAATTCTACCATATTAACATTCTTTAACAAAATTATGGTAACACAATTATCATGAACACAAAATCTTTTAAAGTACATGACCTCAGAATCTAGGAAAATTTACTTTAATTGTCGCTTACATTTTTAATTGAGAAAAAAAAATGATATAATGGCACTACAAGTTGACAAGCTTTTAACACATGAGATGACAAAGTCAGCTTTTAGCCTTTCAGTATCAATAAAATACTCTATAAGAAAAATATTTTTATAATGTTTTAAAATTTTTCATTGAAAAAATTATTACAGTACAATGGCACTACAAGAAGATATATTTTAATCAGTTATTGCACTCATACTGTGAAAAGACAAATGGAAATGAAGGAACTAAGGAAAATTGACTGTTAGGCTTAAGATAGAATCTTCCTTGCTTGCTTTCACAGATGCAAATTTGTCAATCATGTCTTCAAAGTCAACATTTTCAGTTTCCACTCTCTCCACACCAGGCAATCTAACTTTGCCCATGGATGCCCTCAAAGAGGACAAAATTAGCTTCATCTCACTGAAAGAACCTCTTACAGCTTGCTATGGAAATTGCATTTGTTAGCATGATTTGAATTGTAATACAAAGATTTGGAAAGGCACTCTCATTTCCATAGCGAATAATAAATTCTAGAGGCTCTTCATATAGTTTGATATTGACTCGAATTGTAGCATTCTGCAATCTAAGATGTTGCCAGAGGGTTCAGTTCTTAATGCCCATGACACATGTCTTAGATACACCACTGGATTAAAGATAATCTTAACAGTTGCTACTGAAGAATTAAGTGCTGTAAAAAAACAAAAAGTTTTGGTTATTTATCATTTAAATATCTGACATTATCCCCTTCATGGCTTAGGGAGTGGCATATTTTCTCCTGGTGCTAGTGGTCAGTGGTCAGTATTTGAATCCAGGTAAAAAGACACAATTTGAAATGATCATTTACTTATCTGATGTTACCTCCTTCAAGGGCTTATGGCCACATCATATTGAAATATTAGTTCCCATACAATCACTGAAGTTAAGCAACACTGAGCCTGCTCAGTACTTAGATGGGTGACCACTTGGGAATACCAGATGCTGTAAGCTTGGTTGTGTGGGTCGTGTAATGGATAATGGCTTGGAATTGTTAACTGGAAAGCCAAGTTCCAATTCCTGTTGTTTGTTATATTTACTTATGAGAAAAATACCCTTGGGAAAGGCATGAACCCATCTCTTTTCCCTCCAATTATAGGTTTAAAAGAAATAAATAAAATTGCATACAAAATATTTAGGTTTTGGTATTAAGTATAACCCATAGAGGTGTTGATATGCCACTAAACAAAATCAACCAACCAACCAATGGTTGAGGTAGTGGGATATTTTCTTATGGTGCTAGTGGTCAGAATTTGAATCCAGGTAAAAAGACACAATTTGAAATGGTGCTGATTTTTAAAGCATGCAAATCCTCAACTCTTAATCTCTTTGTGTCAATTTATGCTAAAATAAGAAAAGCTTATAAAATATTATTTTTCTGAAGAGTTGAGTCAAACATATAGACATTTATAGACATAAACACACATAATTTTATATATATAATGTTAAGATCTAAAGAAAACCTAGAAAAATATATAGAAACAAAAGTTCTCTGGAAAAAGAGAAGTTACTCATCTAAAACATCATTTAACAACAGAATATATACAAACAATACTACCCTATCAAAATATATATGGCAGTTGAAAAGCACAAACCAAATGTATTAAAATTAGTAAGAATAAGAAAAAAGGGTATCAGTTTATATCAGATCATTACAAAAGTTTGTATCTGGTTTTCATTGTTGATATAAAATGACCATAATTTGATACTGGTATTTTTTTTTTGTGCTAATTTCTGGTGTGTTCCAGATTAAACTTTGCATCATTCAGTTGCAAGTCAGATTTTGTTAAATGTTGACATTTGTCCACAAATGTATGCCTTAAATATTATTATAACTTTCATATGAGAAGGTTATTGTTATAATACACTCATACTTGGTATAATGTAATTTGTTAAGTATTCTCTATACATAATACTTAGGCTATTACCGTAACATCTGTATAGTCAGTATGAAGACCGACTCCAATACAACTATCAACCTCATACCATGGAACACTTTATAGTATTGGACAAGTTCATAAAGTCATCAGGGATGTACTCTTTATTCCACAACGTCCCCACTTTTGAGATTAATACTTTATTAAATAAATATTCTTATTTTGTATTAGTATCTCCCCCTCCTCTTTCTGGAGAGTTGTAACTGTCTTTTGCCATTTGAAGAGACTTTGGTTTGTTTCTGAACTTGACACATGGGTGCCACATTTTCTGACAGAACAGAACAAGCACGATGGTGTTTCTGCAGAGATTTCTTTGCAGTTTTATCACAAAACAGAGCAGAGATAGAATTGCCACAAAGGATGAAAAATGGATCATTTATGATAACTTTCAACACAATTGGAGTTGGAAACAAGCCTGTAATACTGCAGAACCTGTGGTTAATGTAGGCTTGCATCCAAAGAAGCTGTTGCAGTCTGTTTGGTGGAATTGCAGGGGGATAATTCACTTTGAGCTTCTTCCAGCTAGTGAAACAATAATTGCAAAGAAGTATTGCGACCAACTCATCACATCTCAATGTGACTATTTAAGAAAAATGTCCAATTTTGGCAAATTGAAAAGGTGTCATTTTCCATCATGACAATGCAAGACCACATGTTGCAAAACAGACCTTGCGGAAGCTTAAAGAGTTGAAATGGGACCCAACTCTCCAGCACCCACCATATTTACCTGACTTGGCTACTTTGGATTTTCATTTGTTCTAGACTCTACAGAACAATTTAGATGACAAAAAATTTGACTATTCAGAAAGCTGAAAACTACATCAAAACCTTCTTCCCTACAAATGCAGAAAGTTTCTATAAAAATGGTATCAACTTGTAGAACGATAGAAAAAGGAGAGTTGTTAAAACAATGGAGACTATGTAATTGACTAATAAATGTTTTTTATGAGTATATAAAATTTTGTTTTTAATTTTCTAATTGGACAAAAAACTTTTGCAATCATCTAATAATAACTAGCTTAAAAGATTAAACAGTCAGTTTGGGAATTTGGTGACAGTCATTCTAAGTTCAATCCCTGGGCTGGGTACTACAAACTGAGCAGTACCAAAAAGAGGACAAGATGAGTCACCTGTTTATATTTCTGAGATAAGGTATTATGTACACTATTTACATTATTCAGACTATTGTCCTCATCTTTGTTCTCATGGCACAGTGGATAAAGGCATTAGTTAGATCCAGTGACAGGACCCAAAGAGTGTGAGTTCAATACCTGGTTATGGCAGTGGAGAACAAGGAGAGGGTAATTAACAGGAGATAACTGACATCCATTAGACATGGCATGTGGAACTAGAACAGTCTACCTCAGTGAATGAAATAAAGGGTTCAGTTTGACATTCCAACCACCTGAAGAAGGCTGGAGTGTACAACGGCCAAAATGTTGTGATAAATATGGCAACAAAAATGAGGTCAATAGTGTGAATAATGTAAATAGTGTAGATGAGTCACCCCTAAACATGGACATCAAAATGAGAACAATCTATCTATCACCACAGACTAAATAACGGGCCCAGTTAAAAAATTTTTAAAGGTTGATTGATAGACACTTGAATCGGGAGGACATAACCCCAAAACATTTTAATAGCAATGCTGAAGATGTTAGTCCATCTGTAAATGTTTTTTTGAATTTATTAGAAATATTTTCTTCTCTTGAAAGGAGTGTCACTTGTCTGGTACTAGTCAGAATTTGAATCCTCAAAGCTTGCATTTCTTTCTAAGTTATATCAGCTCTTTATGGAATTTGGTGCTTCATCAAAGAGAACCAAGTTCCTTCATCTCTAGTTTTACCTTACAGACACACATTGGTAAAGGAGACATGGCACTAACATTATAGAATGCGACAAGAGAATTTCAAAAAGAAAGTAGTCTTTAAACTTGGCAACTCTTGCTTTGCATTGTGTCATAGAGAAAGGACCTTGAGGGCTGGTATGATACTGCTGTTACTTCAAAGATGTTTTGTATGTTAGACTAGTTGAATCAATATTAAAATTTTTGAAGTTCTCTTAATCTACTGACCACAAGTTCTCTGCACCAACCAATTTTATTCACTCAATTCAGAATGAGAAATTTGATAAATTCTTGTCAAATTTGGAAAAATTTACTCTTTTAAATTCACTGAAATACAAAGTATTATGGTATATCTAAAGTAGTTTCAGACTTTTTTTTTTTTTTTACAGATCTTTATTCCAAAGCTTATGTCATGTACACATCTAAAGATTATTTGGAATGCCACTATTATTATATATTATAGTATATCAAAGTGTTTTGTTTGTTAAAAAGCCATTATTCCTAAGCTTATTTCATGTACACATCTAAAGACTACAACCACACTGTATCATATATATATATATATATATATATATATATATATATATATATAATAATAGCTGGACATTTGTATTGGAGGATACCTGTCTACTAGGGCGGCTAGCCAATCCCTATTACAGACTCTCACTCAGGCACATTTGTTATTGTTCAACAACTACAGAGCCAACCTGTGGTTTATACTGCAACTATGCTTAGCAGACCTTAGTTTTCTGGGAGAGAACATGTTACCTATAATGATCAACAATCTGAACAACACCAGCACACTCAAACCCTTGGTCACGATGACTTGTGACTTCGTGCTAGCACAGCTATTAATGGCTTTCAAGAAAACCAAAATATTGCAGTGAGTGCTGGTGTTAATAAAACAGTGCTCGATGTAATATAACAGAGCTATACATTATATATTAATAATATACATTTTTTCCCCACCAGTATCATGACTCTGAGTTTCCTGTACAACATAATTTTCAGGTACACATCCTAGCTTACAGCACCTGGTGTTCTTAAGTTGTTTATGACATTGCTTAACGTTGATGATTGAACGGAAGACAGTTTAAACATGAAGTAGCTATAAGCCATTCCACTTGCACATCCAAGCTTACAGCACCTGGTATTCCCAAGCGGTCACCCATCTACCAGGCTAAATGTGGCTTAACTTTGGTGATCATATAAGAACTGGTGTTTCAATGTGATATGACTGTAAAGTATAATATTTGCACATCTAAGCTTACAGCACCTGTTATTCCCAATCAGTTACCCTTCTAGTTCCTGACCAAGCTCAATGTTACTTAACTTTGATGATCTTATGGGAACCAGTATTTTAATTTGTGATGGCCTTAAGCTGTAAAAGTTAAAAAAAAAAAAAGTACACCACCATAAAATGGTGCTTTTATTTGTTCTTTTTTGTCTCATAGAAACTGATTTCTTTTGTTGTTCCTCTAATGTTGCATGGAGGAGGAGGGTTAGTTTTGTTGCATTCTTTGAAATCTATTTGCTTTTCATTCTTTCCTACAATTATTCACCATTTTCTACACAATTATTCTGTGCTTCTCATAGACATCCCTCAATACAATCTTTAAACTGAAAGACACAATCTCTTGGAATTGGTTAGCCAGAGAGCAAAGGTTCTTGCCTTAGAAAGCAATGGTGCAGGTTTTGGTCATTTGAGTGCAAAGGCCTGGCTGATGAATAAGAGGATTGCAAGAGTTTTTTCCGGCCAAAATGTATTTTGTGCAAATTGAATAAACTTTGAACCATTGCATTGCTACCATATATGTTTATTTTATTCATGAAAAATGCATTTAGGGAGAAAAAAAATCATCTTCCAGGAGTATATCAGGAACACCACTGAGGTTTATTGATCATTAATTTTAAAAGTTAATAATGAATAAAGAAAGTTTAAAATTATCCACAAGAAAAAGATGACAGAAAAAAATCAAATTTAATATTTTTGTAAATTTTGAAAATGCATTATTTCTGGAAAAATTTTAATTCAAATTTTTGAATTAGAACAGGAATATTTGACATATATCTAAAAAAATTCTTATTGTCATTTTAAAATAAAAAGTAATACAAATTCAAAGAATGATAAATTTAGTTGGTATTTTATATCCATTTAACATTCAAATCTTCTAGCTGCCACACCCCTTGAGGAAATAGTCATTGATGGCTGTTGACAATTTCCTATCCTTTGTAACTCTTATAAGTGTTTGTTATCCCACACACTGTTCTGCCATCATTTCACACAAACTTATTTGTTAGGGAACTCTGCTTTCTTCTGTCCTTCTAGCCTTTAATAAGTCCTATGAATATCAATTTCTCTAACTCTTTTTTTCCTCATTACATATCCTAGAAATTCCAATTATCTCTTTCTTATTCTAAGCATAAGTATCCTTTTTGTTTCCACTTTCCTTAAAACTTCCTTGTTTCTTACATGCCCTGTCCATGGTATTCTTAGCATCTACAAGATTCTATAAAACTCAAACATCAGCCTTTAGAACTTGAGTTATATTCTTAAATAGCCTTATTGGATTGAGACTTTCACATGGATGTCATGAATGGCACCCAACCTGTTCAGAAATGTCTCAACTGTCAACTGTATACAACAACATTCTTAGATCAATGATTTAAAATGTTTTTGAGTGAATGAAGCATGTAAGTTTTAGCAAGGATCATTCTTCTTTGAATTTCATGGACTGTTGCTGTATATTGCTGCAAGACTCAAATAAGGCGATAAACAATTATATATAAAAAAAATATATAAATATCTTTATTGTTCCATTTGTGGCAAATGGATAGAGTGAAGGAGAATCACAGCGGTTAGGATTGCGAACACAGGAACTGATGAAGGCAAAAATTCTTGTCAGAGAGGATACAGTCTATAGCATGTTGAAACACCAGTTCTTGTATGATCACCCAAGTTAAGCAATGTCAAGTCTGGTTAGTATCTAGATGGATGACCACTTGGGTATATCAAGTGCTGTAAGCTTGGATGTGTGGATGGTGTAATGGATAACAGAATTGGAAATTGGAGAGTGGTGTTCCATTTCCACTTCCTGGTTATTTTCTTGGCAAGAGAAGATAATTCAGTAATTCAAAATTCTATGAAGTAAAAAAAAAAGAAAAATATCTAAGGATATTATAATTTTGTATTCCAACTCTTTTTTGCTTGAATAAAGATTGTTTAAGATTATTTTTTTAAATGGTAAAATTCACCCAATACAAGGCTCGAGAGCAGCTCAAGGGAGAGAGTTACTGTTAAAAATGATAATAATGAATGAAGTGTGTGAAATAAATGTAAAGGGAGGTGGTAGGAAATAAAGATCATGAAAATAGACAACAATTCACTCTTGACTTGAAGAGGTAAAGATGTAAACAATTTTAAGAAAGACAAGTAAATAAAATGTAGAAAGGCATTCATTAGTCAGAAATATTTAATGTTATTCCAGGTAAAAAATGAAATAGGTTCTGAAATTAAGATGAAAGAATAGTCATGACAAAGTTGAGCCTCACTCAAAAGTTGAGGCAAATGAATTCAAAGGCTGTCATTGCTGAATTAGAAAAACAACGAGATGAAAGATAATTTCTTTACCTTTACGGAAAAACCTACAACTAAAATGGATAGCACATGTAATTCAAAGAGAAAATAATGACGTAAGATGTTGATGTGCCACACTACTTCAAACAGAAGGTTAGGAAGCCCTCTCCCATCACTAAAGGAAAGAGCAATAAGAGTGGACTTGAGAAACCTGCTTGCCCATGCAGTCTAGAGATTGGATTGGTCAGGTGACCATAGAAGTGAAGGGCCTAAGTGGAATCTCAAGGGAGGTGGTGGAATGGATTGCCTATACCCCTTGGGCAATATTGGTATGAGGCACCAATAGGAGAAGGAAAGAGTTGTGATGGATTGATATTATGCTACCACTACTCCTTGGAGGAGGGCTATCTCCAAAATCGGGTATGCAATTAATTTCCAAGGGTCAAACAAACAAAAAAACTCTTTATGGAGATTAAGGGAATGGCCAAAATCCCAACCCACATCAGACCCCATGCTCATTTTGGATGGAGGTTCATATAAACAGAAAATCAAAATGTTCGAAGGAGAAGCTGTCAGGCTAGAGATGATCACTTCAATGAATCCACATGACTTCCTGACACTGAAGAAGACCTCCAATTTTGAGCTGCGTTCCAGAAACACTGTCTAGACTTATCACAATGAACAAAGTATCACAAAATATTTGGAGAGGGAAGGGTCGAATAACTTTGCATGACAAATATATTCCTGCATGAAGAACATATATTCCTACCTGAAGAACTGATATTGCACTACCAGCTCGGTACAAGAAATGGCATATAAAACATTTTCTTTATTACAATTTATCCTATGACTTGTGGCTTCACTTTGTCTATGTTTCTGCTTGGCTGAGACCACTCTCTCTTCTGTCTACCTGAAACTATTCCTCTGAGCCTTCCTTCAGTTAATACTTTGTCAGAGCCATATACTGGTACTTCTACTCTTCGGTAGGTGGAGAAAACTCCATCTCTCCTTTCTCTCATCTACTTAGTGTTTCACCCATTGTGATTCCGGGGGGGGGGGTCCGGAGAGAATTAACTCCCTCTTCCAACACTACTTCCATCCTTGGGACAAGCAGTCTGGCATCTGATATTTATTCATTTTCATGACATTGTTTTTGTATTTCAATTTTCCCTGGGTTTATTTTACCTGTCTTGATAGATCAGCGAACACAAATCCATTTTTCTTTTTATCTACTTTTGGATTGCAGTTCCTTGATAACTGGAATACACATTCTCAGAATTTGGCCAAGTTTGAAATTTGCCATATGACCCTTTGTTTCTATGCCCCTGAAAAAATATAGTCTTTATTTTATATTTAATTATTTATTTATTTTTTTTTTAATCAAAATTTCCCCTATGACCAATTTTCTCATGGCCTGTGGACAATTTCCTAAACCAGATTTGTCTTTTAAACAGTGATATCTCTTGGTGATTCAGCTTTGCCAAATTCATTCTTTTCAGTTGACAAGTGATAAAAAAAACAGTAATTTTCTTTTATTCTTTGTGGAAAACATTGGTACTTTTACCGATTTTTCTTTTCATTGTTGGCCACACTTATTACCAGACAGAGGGAGTAATATTTATTAATAAATGTGGCCAATAATGAAAATAAAAATAGGCAAATATACCAATGATTATGGGACAGAGGGAGTAATATTTATTAATAAATGTGGCCAATAATGAAAATAAAAATAGGCAAATATACCAATGATTATTGGACAGAGAGAGTAATATTTATTAATAAGTGTGGCCAATAATGAAAATAAAAATAGGCGAATATACCAATGATTATGGGACAGAGGGAGTAATATTTATTAATAAATGTGGCCAATAATGAAAATAAAAATAGGCAAATATGCCAATGATTATGGGACAGAGGGAGTAATATTTATTAATAAATGTGGCCAATAATGAAAATAAAAATAGGCAAATATACCAATGATTATGGGACAGAGGAGTAATATTTATTAATAAGTGTATTAATAATGAAAATAAAAATAGGCAAATATGCCAATGATTATGGGACGGAGGGAGTAATATTTATTAATAAATGTGGCCAATAATGAAAATAAAAATAGGCAAATATACCAATGATTATGGGACAGAGGGAGTAATATTTATTAATAAGTGTGGCCAATAATGAAAATAAAAATAGGCGAATATGCCAATGATTATGGGACAGAGGGAGTAATATTTATTAATAAATGTGGCCAATAATGAAAATAAAAATAGGCAAATATGCCAATGATTATGGGACAGAGGGAGTAATATTTATTAATAAATGTGGCCAATAATGAAAATAAAAATAGGCAAATATACCAATGATTATGGGACAGAGGGAGTAATATTTATTAATAAGTGTGGCCAATAATGAAAATAAAAATAGGCAAATATACCAATGATTATGGGACAGAGGGAGTAATATTTATTAATAAATGTGGCCAATAATGAAAATAAAAATAGGCAAATATACCAATGATTATGGGACAGAGGGAGTAATATTTATTAATAAATGTGGCCAATAATGAAAATAAAAATAGGCAAATATACCAATGATTATGGGACAGAGGGAGTAATATTTATTAATAAATGTAATAATAATGAAAATAAAAATAGGCAAATATAC